TTTTGATAGGCAAGTCCCCTTCAGACTGGCTTCGCCTGAGGCGTGAACTTGCTCTGCGTCTCTGAAGTGTATCCTGGGCGAGGATCGGGGAAACAACTGATTCTGGTGTTTCTTTTTCCAGTGGAGCTTGCAGTCATCTTCGCTGCAATACTCCCAGTAGACATACGCGTGCCAGGGATGATCAGTCTCTGTTGCGTCTGTCGTTGATAGTTCCCGCTGTCCTCTCACCCATGCACTATCTTCCCTCGGAGGCGTGGAGAACGTGTCTAGTTGCTCCATGGCTCTCCTTTCGATGCGTGGAGTGGGTCTCGCATTTTCCCGTCGGAGCATATCTCTGGCTTTCTCGTCGTACTTCTTCAGGGCTCTCCTGCGGTCCTGGTAGTAAAGTTCGACGCTTTTCATATACTTCAGTTTAGCCATATGCTCGACATCCTTCTCCAGTTCTTCCGCTTCTTGGGCTTCCAACTTAGCTACGTCTGGGACGTGCCAAGCAGCCTGCGGGTATTCGTTAGTTGGTCGTAGTATCTCCAGAGGTCATCCTTGCAGTCGTCCACCTTGCATTTTAACGGAAGTCCCTGTAACAGGTTCCCGTAGAGGTCTTTAAGCATGGGGATTNTCCCTCAAGATATACTCGCCACTGCTCAAAGGCAACGACAATAGCCAGTAGCTCCTTGTCGTGGATGTCGTAATTGAGTTCCGCGGGTGACAGTTTCCTAGAGTAGTACGCGATTGGTTTGAACTTACCGTTCTCGTCTGGTTGATTCAGACATGCTCCAATTGCGAAGTCAGAAGAGTCCGTTTTCGAGGATGATCTTCTTTGCAGGGTCAAATGTAGCAAGGATAGGTGCTTCCGTGAACTTCGTCTTAAGTTCCTGGAAAGCAGCCTCTGCCTTGTCCATCCATTTGAATTCGAGATCCTTTCTGGTAAGCTCCGTGAGTGGTTGAGCTACCTTGGAATATCCCGAGATGAATCTTCGGTAGAAGTTGGCGAAGCCTAGGAAGGCTTGCACTTCCTTGACCATGGTCGGTGTTGGCCATTCCAACACTGCCGTTTACTTTTGCTTGGTCCATCTTGATGCCGTGCGTTCCAATAATGTAACCCAAGAATTCGACTTGGTTTTTATGGAACTCGCACTTCTCTGGTTTGAGGAGTAAGCTGTACTCCTTTAGTTTCTTCAGGACGAGTTTGACATGCTTGACATGCTCCTCCTTGGTTGCTGATACACCAGGACATCGTCTAGGTAGACAATGGTAAGATGTCTAAGTATTCGTGCAAAGCATCATTCATCAGTCGTTGCATAGATGCGGGTGCGTTTGTTAGCCCAAAGGGCATGACTTGATACTCGAATAGGCCATAGCGGGTGCGGAATGCTCTTTTCCACTCTTCCCCAGCCTTGATTCGGATCAGGTTGTATGCTCCTCGCAGATCTAGCTTACTGAAGATCTTTGCTCCTTGAAATCTATCGTGTAGTTCGTTGATTAACGGCAGGGCATACCTGTCCTTGATTGTGATGTTGTTCAACGCTCGATAGTCCACACATAACCGTAGGGAGCCATCTTTCTTTGGTACGAAAAGCACCGGACTTCCTGCTGGTGATGTGGATGGTCTGATGAATCCTTTCGCTAGGTTATCATCGATGTACTCCTTAAGTACCTTCAGCTCCTTTTCCGATAGCTGATATATTGGTCCGAACGGTGGACTCTTGTCTTTCTCCAAAGGTATCTCGTGATCCCATGGTTGGTGCTTAGGAAGCGCCTCATTCTTAGGGCCTTCCTGGAATAATTGCTTGTATTCCTTGTACTCCACCGGTATACTCGTCGGTGAGGATGCCTGGGCTAGGTCATCGAGCTCGGAGGTTGCACATAACTCCTTCCGGCCCTGGGAGGGTTTCTCCCGTTGTCGCGTGTCCGTCCGTTGTTCACACGCGCACTGGCTCATCACAACTTTCTCGTTCCACCAGTCGATCTGGGGGTTGTGTTTCTTGAGCCATGGCATACCAAGGATGCACGCATGGTTGTCCATGTGCACGATGTCAAACTGAATCGTTTCCTTGTGCCCGTGTAGCATGACCATTTCCAATGGGACCGTTTCGTGGGTCACCATTCCTTCATTAGTCGAGATGGCTCTCCATCTACGACCATTAACGGGTATGGTTCGGTTTTCAATTGCGTCTTGAAACCTTGCGTGTCTGCTACTTTCTTTGTCATAAAGTTGCCCGTCGCTCCTGAGTCAATCATTGCTCGGAGGTGTCGCTGTTGTATCTTAGCGACCACATATAGTTGCATGCTGCCCGTCGTGGCGCATAGCTGGTCTGTACTAGGCCTCTTCGTGTCGCTCGCCGGTGGCCTACCGTCGAGGACTCCTAGTTTTTTGACTCGTCCGAGGAAGGATAGTATTCATCCGCTTCCAATGGTGGTCCTTGGGGAGATCGTTTCCCTCGCTCTTCTGCTTCGTCTAGCAGATGTGGGTATTTCTCGTATACCTGTTCGCTTTTGATAGGCAAGTCCCCTTCAGACTGGCTTCGCCTGAGGGCATGAACTTGCTCTGCGTCTCTGAAGTGTATCCTGGGCGAGGATCGGGGAAACAACTGATTCTGGTGTTTCTTTTTCCAGTGGAGCTTGCAGTCATCTTCGCTGCAATACTCCCAGTAGACATACGCATGCCAGGGATGATCAGTCTCTGTTGCGTCTGTCATTGATAGTTCCCGCTGTCCTCTCACCCATGCACTATCTTCCCTCGGAGGCGTGGAGAACGTGTCTAGTTGCTCCATGGCTCTCCTTTCGATGCGTGGAGTGGGTCTCGCATTTTCCCGTCGGAGCATATCTCTGGCTTTCTCGTCGTACTTCTTCAGGGCTCTCCTGCGGTCCTGGTAGTAAAGTTCGACGCTTTTCATATACTTCAGTTTAGCCATATGCTCGACATCCTTCTCCAGTTCTTCCGCTTCTTGGGCTTCCAACTTAGCTACGTCTTGGGACGTGCCAAGCAGCCTGCGGGTATTCGTTAGTTGGTCGTAGTATCTCCAGAGGTCATCCTTGCAGTCGTCCACCTTGCATTTTAACGGAAGTCCCTGTAACAGGTTCCCGTAGAGGTCTTTAAGCATGGGGATTTTCCTCTGGCCATTGGGCTTGTCTCGTTCAGCCCTAATCTTTGCGTGGGCGTGTTTTGCCATGCGTCTTACTACGTTCTTGCACCGTGGACTCATTGGTTCCGTAGGTGCGAGTTCATCGAAGGTCTCCTGTTCCGAGACGGTGAACGATTCCGCCTCCGACCCTTCATCTGAGCTCTCGTCTTCTGGGGTGCTTTCGCCGTTTATTCCCCAGTCCTGTTTGCTCACAAACGTTGCGTTCAACTGTCCTGTCCAGGTGGCATTGAGTTGTTTGCCGACTTTGCGTCCGCCGTTCCCTTTCTTTGGCTGTCTGCAGTCTCGGGCCAAGTGGCCTGGCTTGTCGCAGTTAAAACAGAGTCGTTCCTTGAATTGTCTGTCTTTCTTAGGGTCACGGGGTCGTCCAGGTTTGAACGTGGCATCGAGTTCCATTGGGTCCGACCAACGGTTGTCTCGCGGGTGTTGATCCCGTCGTCTGCCCTCGTTTCCCCGGTAGGGGTAACTTTTCTTGGGCTTGTCATAGGTCCGACGTTCCTTCTGGAATTCGTATAGTCGATTGTCGATTCGGACCGTATGTTCGATTAGCGCTACCATGTCCGTTGGTTGTTGTTCCAAACGGGCAAGTTCCATACGTATATGGCTCTTCAGCCCACGTCGGTAGTGGCTGATGAGTGCGCTGGCGTCCCATCCTGTCTGATTGCCGTATCTCTGGAATTCTGTGGAGTACGTGAGGGCGCTGCCAGTCTGCTTAAGTGCAAACAGATGGTCTTCTGCGGTCTTAATCTCATCGATGTCTCCGAACATGCGTCGGATTTCCTTACAGAATCCATTCCAGCTGCCAAACATAGTCTGCGTAGTTGTCATGCTTCCATTGGTACTTTCATATTTGAAATAGTCCTTGAGGAATGGTTCGATCCATCGCAGGGCTTCCCCCCTAAGGTAGGACGCAGTCCACAGGGCATAGCTCTCCTGGGTGGGAAACTTCTCGTCATTGAAGTGCTGGTACAGTTCGACCTGTAGCAAAAACACCTCAAGTTCCTTTCGGTTGCCGGAGTAAGTGTCGGGCAACTTGACGCGTAGAGTTTCCTTGAGTTCGTTGACGGTGGGTGCATCGGGCATCTCTTCATTCTCAGGCTTAGACCTCTGAGACGAAGTTGGCGTGGTGGGGGTTTTCCCCTTCGAACTGACGACAGACATGTTGCTTTGTGTGTAAGCCGGTACCTCGTAGAAGTGGTGCTCAAAGTGTAACACTGACTTCTAAACGATAGAAGACACAGAGGTTCTCTTGCGTAAAGGTTTACTTATCAGAGGAGGCAGGGGATCAGACACAAAGGCTTCAAGTAACACGTTACTAGTATATAACAAATACTGTATTGAGTTGAGCACGAAGCTCCTATCTAAGGAAATACTATCTACTTATATAGTGGCGTCGTGCCTAGTGGACTCTTGGGAACTCACTCGAGTCCTCGGAGTCCTGGACTCTTAGGACTCTTCTCATCATCCTGCGAGTCTGTCACGTGCCTAGTGGACTCCTGGGAACTCACTCGAGTCCTCGGAGTCCTGGACTCTTAGGACTCTTCTCATCATCCTGCGAGTCCGTCACGTGATACTTTCGGAACTACTATTCCCCGCTGCCCCTCCAGGTACCAGGGCCGGACTCATGCGACCTCCCTCCTTCCTGTCCTGTAGTTGGCCAGCCTTCTTGTTCCGTCGTAACAATCGGCCCACGTTATACCGTCCGAAACGTCCTATACTATAATTCTTGGGCAGCCTTGGATGTATCAAGTCGGCTTCAAAGCAGATTACCAAGCAGACAAATTCACCATCTTTTCTAAAGAAGGCAAGCCGCACACTCTTACACGCACACAGCCTCCAAGAGATGCTCCACCGCTCATTATGCATGACGACCTCATCCCAGCTTCACTCCAACACAATGCAAAACATGCTGATGACCTCTGGGACAACCTCGCGAATGAATCCTCAGACTCGGACCAAGACTCCAACGCAGAGGAGCAGGACCAAGTCAACGCACATCAGTCGGGAAAAGGTACAGGCGGCCAATCAAGGGCGTATTAGCTGCCATAGATACCCAGCCCACTCCACTGAGTCCCCTTCAAGACATGGTAAACAGTACACTCGCGCTTATCGAGGCGCAGTACCCCCCCTGGGAAGCTCAACTGCCATTGCAGCACAAGCCTTTGGAGCGGACCTTGAAGGAACATGGCACATTGCAGCAAAACTAGCCCTATGTCAAAGCAAGACGTCAAATAAGCGCAATCCCCAAAACCAAGAAGTGGCCCGAGGCCCGCCAGTGCAGCGTACTACAGAACTACACAATAGCCCAGCATCGTGGCCGAACGATCTCAGACTTAATCACCAAGCTCAGGAAAGGAGAAAGAAACTTGGCCGAAGAAGAATAATATCCCGGAGGGGAGAAATTGAAAACCATACCTCGTGGCGGAGATCTACAGACGATACATCCACCGCTCAGAAGCTCGCGCAAGGGATGCGAGGAGAAATTGTTGGGAATCCAGGGAAAGGGCAGTCAGAGGAAATCATAAATACCAAAACAGAAATAGATTAGACAAGGACGAAATTGACACCATTAACTTTTACACTGTGTCCTCTTCCTGTGCTCCAATCACCAAACCTTCAGCGAGGACACAATGTCTACCGAGAGGCAGAAGGCTCGACAGAGCAATGAGCCGCATCCTGTCGCGATTTCGATCGAACCCTCGACCTATGGTTTGCCGCTGCAAGGAATGACTGCCATCTTAAAGCGCACTGTTTGGAAGGATGTCGACGGCACCTGGGTCCAGCCAGTCCAACAGATGCAGCAATATCAAAACTTGTTACAGGGAACCGGACCCCAATGGGATTCTACCAAACGTCAACTGGGCCCCGAAGAGGTAGAGGCAAATGATGACCTCCTAGACTGTCTTATGCGAGGAAATCCGGACAAGCCCTACTGTCCAACCAAAAGAGTTGAGGGAATCGACTCAGGGAATTACACTACACCATCTACCTCTCATGTCCTCTCAAGCCATGCAATGGTAGCCGTAGACATCGTACCTGTCCCCCGAGTCGACCAGAGCACTACGCAACGCCCGCCTCAAATAAAAGGACCCAAGGCACTACATACTGTAGAGGATGAGGAGGAGGCGTTCGGCACACTGGATGCCCCTTTCCCAGTGGAACGTCATCCTGCAAGTTATAGACGCGGGTTGTCAGACGCAAGTGATGAAACTATTTGCGAATGGATACAGCTCAACGAGTATAATCACATGATTGGCCCTGATGCAAAGACAGATGAGCAGAAGAAACTTGCTGCTCGACTGTATTATACCTTTCCAGAAATTTTCTGTAACTGGGTTCGGGACATGCCTGTCACCGACATCATTGAGCACAGAATACCGACGCGGAGCACAGCAAGACCACGCATGTGTAACCCAGCACTGTATTCAGAGAAAGAATGCGCATATCAAGATAAGTTCTTGCGGGATTTACTTGAAGCAAATGTCATCACTCGCATTACGTCGCCGTGGTCTGCCAAGACCAAGTTTATCCCGAAGAAGGCAACAGGTAATATGACGATGGTCCATTCGTTTGTTCCCATCAATGATGCCACCATTAAAGATGCGTACACTATGAAGCGCATTGAACCAATCCTTCAAACGTTAGGCCAGAAATGGTTAAAGACCTTCTTCCAAGCGGACGGGGCCAATGGATTTTGGGCCATCCCATTACACCATGCCCATATTTATAAGACAGGTTTCTCTACACATTTCGGCCAAATGGCCTACCTCCGGATGGGCCAAGGTTTAACAGGAGCACCATCCACCTACTCTAAAGGAAAAGACATTATTACAGGGCCGATCCCTGAACCGTTCCCAGAACCAGCACTTCACGAGGCCGCCCTAGGCCAGTGTGTCTTCAGTCATTTTGTTGATGATGATATGGGGGGAGGAAGAACGTTTGAAGACCTGTTCCGATTTTTGTGGTGGCACTATTTCCCGCGACTACTATGGGCGAAGTTTACCCTAAATCCGAAAAAGGCAGTCTTTTTCACAAACGAGTTGCACATACTAGGATTCACACAAACAGCTAAAGGGATGAGGCCGTCCATGGATAAACTGGCAGCGTTCCGAGATATAAAAACGCCAACGTGCGAAGAGGAGCTATTACGCATCCTATACACTCTCCCATACTTGAAAACGTTTATCCCGGGGAGAGCCGATCTCACGACTATTATGAAAACAGCCCTAAAGTATGAGATCACCACATTGTCCACTGGCGAGCAGAGGAAAAAGTGCACCTTCGGGTGGGAGCAAAAGCACGAGAAGGCGATGCGTAGCGCTATCGATAGTATCCTAACGGAATGTACCACAGCTGGCGATCAAAACGTTCAGTACCATTTATCAGCAGACGCGTCCAAAACGGGACTCGGAGCTTGCCTTTTCCAAATCCCGAATCACCCGCCTGGCACTAACGCAAAGCAAACCACCCCAGAAGACCGAAAGGTCGTAATGTTCCTCTCTACGCGGCTTACTGGACCACAAAGCCGATGGACAGTTACTGAGAGAGAAGCTTTTGCAGTATTGGCAGCATTAGAGGAAACAGAATGGCTGACCAGGGGGTCATCCTGGCCTATTGTTGTGTATACCGACCACAAGTCCCTTATCCCCATGCTCAAAGGGGAGTCGGTACCAGACAGAATCGCAAGGTGGCAAATGCGCTTTTCACAGTTCTACTGTGACTACGTGCATGTCCCGGGCAAGGAGTTAGTAGTAGCGGACGGACTGTCACGGCTCCCACATGCGCAGGACTATTATAAGAAGACAGACGATGAAGAACTTACAGCCTTTCCTGTCGACATCGACCACGCTCAATCTTACGCTCTTGCGCACGTTGGAAAATTGAACAACTTGATAGATGACGACTGGTACACCGAAGTGATTGACGTTTTACGACACCCTGAGAAGTTTGAGAACGGAGATCCCTCCACCCTCGAGCAGGCAAACAACGAGCGTCTGGTGCGAAAAGCACAGAGATTCTGTCTCTTCGAAGACAAGTTAGCATACAAGGAGAGAAATGGCAAGACAAGCCTCTGCGTCCCAAAGAACTCGGTGAAGTGGATATTAAACCACATACACGAACAACACGGCCATTATGCAGCGGATATCTGTCTCCAAAGCGCCTTCGGGCAATTCTTTTGGCCAACCCGACGGCAAGATATAAAGAAACACTGCGCATCGTGCTGGAACTGCCAAGTCCTTACCCCTATGAAGCCCTCTCAGTCAATTCTACCCATATTGACGCATGAACCCTTCGACCTTATAGGGTTTGACTTAATCGGGCCAATCTTTCCACCCTCCGACGATGGCCACCACTTTATCTTTGTCAAGGTTGAGTACTTAACAAGGAAAATATGGGCAGACCCGTTAATCGCAGCAACAGCAAAAGCGTGTCAGGAATCGTTGGACAGGGACATCCTTAGCATCTACGGCAATCCTCGAGCAACATACTCAGACAATGGATCGCAGTTTGTGACAGGAAGCCTTGCAGACGACCTGAAACGAAGAGGAGTAAAGAGGATTTATTCGCCTCTATACAGCCCTTCGTCAGTTGGCCTCAATGAGAGAATGGTAAAGATAGTGTCGACCGCTATAAAAGCGTCAGTCCAAAAGAACCCCCATCTCAAAGTAAAATGGAACATCCTGTTACCCTTGGTAGTCCACGCTGCAAATTGTCGAACAATGATATCGCTAGGATTCTCCCCAAACGAGTTACTTTTCGGGTTTAATCCGAAACAACCGGAGACAACATTGCAGATCGAAGAGGAGCTTGGCGTTAAATCGCTAGAGATGAAGATCGACTCTGAGAGGGGAGACGCAGGACTGTACTCGGGAAAGGTAGCTGCAATGAGGATGGAGTCCCTTGACTACGCCCGAGATCTGGCAACAACTAGGCGATTCGGAAAAATGCTTCAACGTACGGACAACAACGTCCGACTGTGGCCGTCGCCGCAAGTTGGGGACCTGGTTCTCCTAAAGCGCATGCAGCAAAACTTGCCAAAACTGGACCCGCGCTGGAAGGGACCGTTCCGAATTAAACACATCTACCAAAACAACCGGTCAGCAATCATTGAAAGTCTGGTCACGCAAGAGGCGATTGGGAAGTATCACCTGAATCACCTGAAACCATTCAAGGCCCGGGACCCCGAGAACGATGTCGACCCTCGAGGATGGGAAGAGTTGGCCAGACTCTCCGAGATAATGGATGAACAAATATCGCAGGAGCAGCAGTTTGAGAATATGAAAGGAGACTCAGAGGCAACAAAATGGGATAGACAAGACCCAGATGCTGCTTTCTTTAATCAATTGATAAGCTTTCCCTATGATGACGACGCGGGCTTCGAACCTCCTGCTCAACCCGGGAAGGAGTTAAATCTCGAATAACGACGTCGAGAGAAAATGATGTGGACAGAAGTGAGAACGGACAACATCGTCTGTCCTGAAATCAGCGAATGCAATAAAACGTTATGTGGGTGAAATGAATATTATTACACCACTCCAACACGAAGTTTAACTACCTACTTTTTACTACCAAATATATCCATTGCACCACCTACCAAACTTCACCTCCACCTCAGAACATACCTCCAGACCACATGTTTGCGGTTGGTATTCATCAGACCCCCCCGATACAAATCGAGGGAATTGTTGAACTGTCATACAAATCGAGGGAATTGTTGAACTGTCATACAAATCGAGGGAATTGTTGAACTGTCGATAAGAAAGGAAGAAGAAGAAGAACAGAAGAACAACCAATAGTCAAACCTTTTATACCATTCTACCAGAGACCTATCCTTCTTTAACCGCGACCCGAAGCAACCCGATCTGTCGAAAGCTCTGATTTACCTTCACGACGAACATACACCTCAGACCTGGATAACCTCAGCAAAGTCAACTAGTCTACCCTACACAGGACACTCGAGTATACCTGGCCAACCAGAAAGCACACGCTCTTCAAATTCACCATTCACCATGTCGACCAATCCCGGATCCGAAACCTCCATTCTTGACCAATCCCCGAATACAACCCCACTTGTCAACATGTTGGACAATCAACCCCAAGTACTTCTTCAAGAAAATCCATTCAAACTCGAACCTCACCTGCTTCGAAAGACCTCAGAGTCAAATTCCACCAACATGGACAATGCAGACACCAAAGATACCACTGCAAATGCGAAGAGGAAGGCGCCTGTTGACAATGTTCACCGTGGGCCGATTGACTTCGAGCACATCACATGGGAAGAGTTGCCGAGCATGATTCAGAAAAGAAGTCAAAAGGCGAAGAACGCAGCGATAAAGAAAGAACGGGATTCCTTGCCTAGAGCAAAGAAAGGATATACCACTTCGAAGGGAATCATCGGAGAGACACTTCAAACCCTTATTAACACCCCGGAGATAGAGTTCTTCGAGCCTACGGAACAAGAGATTGCAAGAAACGAAGCCGGAGAATACCCGTTCGATAAACGCTCCAAAATTACCAAAGAAACAGTAGAGACACCAAAGAAAAGAAACCTTAAGGGAGGCGAAGAGGACTCTACGCAATACCAAGAGGCGGAGGAAGAAGTCGAACTCTTACTCGAGAAATACCTCCAACATCTGCACAATAAGGGAGCACAGGCCGACAATCCGGATGCTGACCCTGACTCAGAAATTTCGGCAGCCCTCGTTCACTATAGCAAAGAGACAGCACACCCCCGCGCAAAAGAACACATTGCGAAAACCTTGAGATTTATCCAAGAAGCACCTCAGAACAATAAGAATCACAGTCTACCTGACAAATCGTGGCTCTATGAACACCAAGAGGTTAGAGGATTGAAAGGACAGACACATCTGAAGAAATACGGGTTTTACCAAACATTTTCCAGAAGAGGTCTGGCGGGAGACGGGTTCCTCAAGGACTTAACTGAACAAGAAGGAGGACTCGAGAAAGATCTGTACTAATACCTGACCTCAAACGACCCGAATGGATCCATCTATGGAAACGGAGAAGACATCCTCAACCGAAGAAGACAAGCCAAAGAGAGGCTTTACTGTGGGATGGGACAATTCCGCATCCAAGGCCGATATGCGTCAGAGTCAAAACTTGGCCCAAATGCACCAACCAAGAAAGCTGTTCTGTCACCTTTGTCGCTGGAGGCCCGGAAGGATCCTCTAGCATTTCGCAAACTTGTCCTTGAAACCATCACACAGAAGCCTATCTCGACTGAAGACATTGGACGTGAACGACTAGGAAGTCAGTTTCTCCGAGCTACGAATCTGGCCTGGGCGGGAGCGAAGAGACTCTTCGCAGTGGAGGAAATGATCGATAAATCCAATCAAGAGTTCAAGAAGCGTGAAAAGGAATTGGCTCAGCAGAATGATCTTTTACGATGTCAACGGGACGAAGCTCGTCGAGCAGTTAGAGCGCTTATCTCTGCCCACGTTCGTGATACACCAGGAGTTTCGCAAGATGATCAGAAAGATCCGCTCAAGGTTCTTCTGTCATGGGTTGAGAATCCGGGGAATGATGTGGACCGGCAAGACGAGGATGTATCAGGATGAGTTTCAAAGGGAAACTTATAAGGTTTAAGAAGACGATTTGAAAGACCTTTTGAGAGGTTCATACATTACGTGTGAAGGAAAGGCCGAATGAACAGTCTGAGTTATAGGGCATTTTCCAGCATGGATGGAGGAGGCGTTCAAAAGGGGCATTTTGAAGACCAAGAGTCTTACAGCGTTGCATTTTAATCAGTTCGAAAGCTTATTTTATCATGGAATATCTTCAAAGATTTCCAACAGCGTCACGATCAACATCATTCAGGTTGTCACGAACAACTTATAGGGAGAGAAGTTGGTTCGTTGAGGAGTTTTCTGAGAGGTGCCAGCGAGGTCGTCTACCCCCAGTGGGGGATAAGTGTGAACCAACACGTGACATAGCGTAGTATAGATAGAACATCGGATAGCCGATTGTCTCTTCTTCAGAGCATCATCAAGAATAGCAATACGATCGTCATCGTTATCACCGTTACACATTATTCCACGTTGCTCCGTAGGCTACACGTGGTTAGACCGGCCGGGTTCCGAAGGTCCGTAGAGTCGAGTATGGAGTAACACTCAGCTAAACCAGAAATGCTCCACTTTATGACTAAACCCTGCACGTTGGTCAGTATGCTCGCGTAGCATCACATGATATGGTTCTGTAGGGCGAAAAACGGTAATCGTGGGGTCGAATAACCCACCGCTACGTGGTGGGCGCAAGCGAGTTGCATCGCCCCAGATTTCTCAACCACCCAATTTGTATTGCAATTGAAACTTGAACAATGCCACCACCTGCAACCCACGAATACGAAGAGGCTATAGCCCAGGCAATTGCCTGGGCTACTGCCAATCCTGACGAGAGTGAGACTACCGCCGCACGTATTTTCCACGTGAATCCTCAAACCCTCAAATCGAGGATACGACGAAAGAAGCAACGCGACAACCGCCCTCATAATACACGGAATCGAATCCTCTCTAGGCCACAACATGAAGCTATTATTACATATGCAGACGATATGCACAGGACAGGCCTCGGGGCTACAAAACAGATGGTCTTTGCGATAATCGACTTCCTAAAGGATCTAGAAGGCAGACCGCGACCGTCATGGCGATGGTTTCAAAACTACATAAAAACAACCCCGGGTTTTCTTCATACACTAAAAACAAAGCCAATTGTACGAAACCGAGTCAGTGCACAAGATGTTAAGGATGTACAGGATTGGTTCAAGAGTTGGATGACTTGGTGCGAAGCCCATGATATTCAGCATGGTGATATTATCAATTTTGATGAAGCTGGGTTTCAAATTGGAGTAGCTTCTGGAGAAGATATTCTTGTCCCTACCTGGATAGTAGATGTATGTATATTCCAGTTATAATATAAAATATAGTATAGCTAATAAACTATAGCCATTGTATACACGTAACCCTGAAAATCGACGTTCTATTACCGTTATAGAATCGATTATTGCAAATGGAACAACTATTCCTCCTGTTCTAATTGTACAATGTGTGAATCATATGACGAATTGGTATACCTTATTAGACGGAAATACAAGGGTATTAATGTCTGATTCCGGATATATCAACTCTCAATTAGCTCTTGAATATCTTGATCACTTGATTCTTCATATACAAGCTGGGGCAAACGCATGTCCTAGGGTTCTATTAATGGATCAACACGGTAGTCATATGACCCCAGAGTTTATTATTAAAGCTACAGAAGCTAATATACACCCGTTTCCTTTTCCTAGCCACTTGACGCATGTTCTTCAACCTCTTGATGTCGGTGTTTTTCAGCCGTATAAACACTGGCACCGGAAGGCTGTACAAGATGCAACCCGGCATCTAGATATTGAATATACAGTTTCATCGTTCTTCTGGGACTTAACAGAAATCAGGGAAAAGACTGTGAAAAAAGAGACTATTCAAGGTGCCTTCCGAAAGTCTGGGATCTGGCCAATTAATTGCCAGAAAGCTCTTAAGAAAATGAAGACGTATATGATACCAGTGATGGCGATGGCAACGGCGACAGCGATTGAATTACCCTGTCCTCAAACACCAGTAAGAGGTGTTCAAGCCAAGAGATCTCTTCAAGAAATAGCATCAAAAATCTCAGAGAAGATTGATATATTTAGTAGTCCTACACGCCGGAAAATCGACTCTACAATACGAGGGGTCCAGAACGTCCTTATGACTGCAGAAGTCCGGGACCGGCAGTATGAAGACCATAATAGGGTTCAAAATCAACAGAAGTTTAGGATTCGAGGGAATCGGAAGGTCTTACAAAAAGGAGGGGTCCTTACAGGAACTCAGGCACGACAGATCCAGGAAAACAAGCATGAAAAGGAGCAGGTTGATAAGATCAAAAGATGACAATATCTTATACTAATTACAACAAATAAGATTAAGAAGAAGTATCTCCAAGGGGTTGCTGCACGGAAATCAGAGAAGGAACGTCAAAGGACTATTCTAAACTAGTGTGCGTCACGGGGGACCGACCCCACCGGGGGACCAACCCCAGACCGGACCACGGTCCCCCGTCGGTCTGCCAAGACTGTCATCACGTGCCTATAATTGGTTAACAATCACGTGTAAATATTACTTATTTTCTATGTGTAATTTGTAGTAGATGGCAATTACTATAATGATTACTATAGATCTATATTACGCCATGACTCCTGAATTTCTGGACCAGACCGAGACTTATTACGGACTTGGCTCAACTCAATTGTTTCAACTACTTCCCCCCAAGGCAACTGGCTCTATTGTCATTCTATGGACTTGCAAGTGAAGGTAGGGTGTAATCACACCCATCTTGGCTTGGGGGTAGCCCCTCTAAATCTTCTAGCTCCGGGTCAATTAAGTCAGCCAAGACTGTCATCACGTGCCTATAATTGGTTAACAATCACGTGTAAATATTACTTATAATGACTTATTTTCAATGTGTAATTTGTAGTAGATGGCTGACTTTGGTAACGAACTTGGCAGCATTGCCCTCAGGTTGGGGCTGTAATTGCTGTACCCTTGGTAACATATAAAGGCCTCGTCGTGATTGAATAAAATCAAACCGGTCTTGGTTCCGCTTTGTCCTATCATAGGTATTTGACTGCCTTGGGCTTCGGTCTGGAATATACTGTAGCGTCATCTTTCTTGAATATTATCAATTAGAGCATGATACCCAAACAATAATTTCTCATCATTCATATAAGTTGAATCAATAATATCTGTAACAGAGTAGTGTTCAAATAGCTGTTCCCGTTAAATTTTCTGGCGGTAAAAGACAAGCATAATTCCCGTATCATATCAGGGATCATTTGGTTGCACTTATAATTACAGACAGCGTGAGCAGTACTAAAGACTGGCTCAACAAGAGCCTCTGAAGCAGGAATACAAAGTATATCCCGGGCTATAGCAGCAAGTCCAGGGAATAGTCTTTCGTTCTCTTTCCACCATTTTAATGGTGGTTGATGGGAGGGTGCTAATAAAAGTTAGTAGTGATTACTTGTTACGGCTATAGTAACATGATGTCATGGTTACAGGGCCAGGGCCTAGTAACGTGACGTGTGAGTCACAGTGGGCAGCGGGGTAGGCTGCCATGTGACGGGGCTAATGGATAGTTGCAGAAACTAGTGGATATTGGATAGTTGAGCTATCCACGGACTATCCTGAATATTTAGCTATCCGCCAACTATCCAGATTACCCATGAGGCACGACGCCACTATATAAGTAGATAGTATTTCCTTAGATAGGAGCTTCGTGCTCAACTCAATATAGTATTCTTTACAATACTGTAACGTGTTACTTGGAAAGCCTTTGTGTCTAATCCCCTGCGTCCTCTGTCAAGTCAACCTTACGCAAGAAACCTCTGTGTCTTCTATCATTTAGAAGTCAGTGTTACATTACTATAATTATTACTATAAACTTACGGAGGGCAAGGTATCACTCAATCTCTCCTCCTTGGTCTTCAGCTCGACTAATGGAGTTATAGCTCCGCTTCCGATTTAATATTAGAGCCATTGAGTCCTTGTCTAGTTCCATGTAGTTTGATTGGTGCTGGTTTGATCTTTCTTGGTTTGCGTAATGTTGTGTGTATAACGCCCGGAATTCCTTCTCAAAATGCCCACGCCAGTTTTTATTAGGATTTAACCAACAATAATCAGGGTCAAACACTTCCATCTTTAACCGTGGAGATAGAATAGCACCAAAGGCATAGAAGTTACCAATACCTGTAACGTGCATGTATAACGAAAGTGCCAAACCCCCAACTAAATGTTAAATTCCTCCACAACAAAACATGCGCCATAAAAATGATGGAAGCAAATTAGTGCTAGCTATCCAAGCTATGCAAAGCGACCCAAATTTGTGCCTTCGAGTTGCAGCTAGGATCTATTCCGTAGACCACCGCAAGCTACGTCACTGTTTACAAGGTGTACCTTCACGACACAATATCCAAGCCAACTTACGGAAATTAAGTAACCTAGAGGAATCAGTTCTTGTTCAGTATATACTTGACTTAGCTGCTAAAGGGTTCCCTCCTCAGTTGTCTATTGTTGAAGATATGGCAAATCGACTACTTGCAACACGCGACGTGCCACGCGTCGGGTCACGTTGGGCTTCAAACTTTGTTAAGCGCCATGTAGAGCTCCGGACACGCTTCCAGCGAAAATACGACTACCAGAGGGCTAAGTGCGAAGATCCATAAGTCATTCGTGGCTGGTTTGAGCTTGTATGGAACACAATTCTAAAGTATGGCATCAACAATGCAGATATCTACAACTTTGATGAGACTGGGTTTATGATGGGCGTCATCTCAAGCGCAACGGTAGTAACGAGCTCAGATGGGCGGGCAAAGGCAAAAAAGGTGCAGCCTGGCAATCGGGAATGGGTTACAGTAATCCAAGGCGTTAGTTCTCAAGGTTGGGCAGTGCCGCCATTTGTCATTGTGGCAGGTAAAAACCACCTTGCATCTTGGTATGAGAATAGCGGATTTCCAGCAGATTGGGTAATCGCTGTTACTGCAAATGGCTGGACTACAAACGAGAGAGGTATGGATTGGATTCAGCATTTTGAGAAGCACACAAAGCCCCGGAGTGTTGGTGGTTATCGCTTGTTAGTCCTTGATGGTCATGAGAGCCACCACTCAGACAAGTTTGAGGAGTACTGCAAAGAACACCCATTATTACGCTTTGTATGCCTGCTCACTCTTCCCATATACTCCAACCACTTGATGTTGGCTGTTTTGGCCCATTAAAGAGAGCTTACGGTCGGCAAATTGAAGATATGATGCGGGCTCATATTATTCACATTACTAAGGATGACTTCTTTCCTGCCTTCCACACTGCATTTAACATTGCAATGACAGAAAGCAATATTCAGGGAGGGTTCCGAGGTGCTGGGCTTCTTCCATTTAGCCCTGAGAGTGTAATATCTACACTTGACCTTAGGTTTAAGACGCCAACACCTCCAACCTCTCGCCCAAACACCGCTCAACCATGGGTTTCTCAGACACCAAATAACCCAACTGAAGCTGCATCACAGTCTACTTTCATTAAAAACTGAATTGCACATCATCAAAATAGCTCTCCAACCTCAATCTATGCAGCTGTTGACCAGTTTACAAAGGGTGCATCGCAAATAATGCATCAATTAGCATTGTTAAAAGCAGAGAACCAAAACTTGCGACAGGCAAATGAAGTGCTAAGCAAGCGCCGGAGAGCTAAAAAAACACGACTACAGCAAGGGGGATCACTTAGTCAACAGGTAGCACAGGAGCTACAGGACGAGAGGGACATTGTGCAGCAAGTAGAGCAAGAAATAAGGGCAAGTAGTGGTCGGAAGCCAAGGGAAGAAACCCATGCACGTCGCTGTGGCAAGTGTGGTGAGACTGGACACAATGCGTGCACCTGTCAGATTGTAATAGACAGGTCTGAGGAAGAGGACTCCGAGTAGTTTTAATTAATTTATATTGTTGTGGTGGATTTATCGCAATTCTTATGGGGTAGTCGCGATATTTTGGCACTTTCGCTTGTTTGGCACTTTCGTTATACATGCACGTTATGTAAAGATTATAGGGAAAATGAATTAAGTAACCCTGTTTTGAAAGTATAAAATGGCCCCACACCCCCACCCTGCTGACGCCACCTTGCTACCGCCTGCCCGTCTGACCGCCCATCCTTCTGTGAAATGTGTACATAAAGCTCATCGACTCAGGCGATGAGCTTCAATTGTGAGCCTGCCAACAGCTTCTGCTATAATGCCCAGGCTCACGACAGGTGCTGCAATGTACCTGTTGCCGTCGTACGGCCATTTCCCCTTGCCCAATCCTATCCAGATCTGCCTGTGTAGCCCCTCGCGATGACGGGTATTGGCCCTTATCCATACGCACTTGGCGCGGCACGGCTGAGTGCGCTCATCTTCGGTGGGTGAGGGCGGGCGAGGGCCGCAGTGACAGCAGGCTTGAGTGAAGCTATTCAAAGCTCATTAATGGACGGAGCTTACCGTTGATAGTGACAGTGATGCGTGGGTGGTGGTGGTGATGATTGGTTGTCACAGGGTGTGGGGCGGGCAGGGCCATTTTATTCATGGGCAAAAACTTCATATACCCACTAAACTGGTAAGAAAACTCCATCTACCCAGTCGGCCGCTAACTGTAATGGTGGGTGCACCAGATGTGAGAATCTAGCCACCCAAGGAAGGGATGATTTTACTAAGACAATACACTGTCTTAGGAAACAGAGCCAAAGGGTTGCAGCTTAGACTATTCCACAACACAGCAATCAGGTGTATGATGTGGTGGAGTGGTTTAGACAAGTTGTAACAAATGTTGAGTCTGAGAACTCAGGGATAAGTCAGAGGTTAGCACCTCACTGACTTTTCAGAAACAAGGAGTAACAAGATCAATGCTTGGAAGCTTGGAAAAGAAGCTTCCAAGCATTGATCTTGTTACTCCGTGGAAGTATGTGATAGTCGATTGACTGTATTGTCTGCTTGCCCTTTCTTAAGGAAAGGGCAATCCTATTTATACTAAAGGAGTGTAGTTCTCTCATTTTCCAAGACTTTCCATGACTAACCAGGCTTGGTAACTGTAGTCGACGTAAGAGAATTCCATAGAACCATCTCCTAGGTTTCTAGCCTATAGGAAGTGAAAGGAGGTCCAAGGTCAGAGTACCCCTATAGACAGATTATGTCATAACTTAACCAATCTTGTGGGTAACTAAGGAGCGATGACGTGTAATGAATCATAGAGGGTTGTAGAAGCTTTTGGAGCTATCGTTCATGTTCCTAGTCCTCTAGTTGATAGAGATATGTCATGGGTAGTATTAGCCCAGTAACTAAGTGTAAGGATGCCTCCTTACACGGGGTACCCTCGGACCCGTAAGACAACGCGGAATAGGCGACATAGTAGTATAGCAGCATAGATGTTCTAGGGTCGGGGTCGATTCGGGCGGCAGACGGGAGTGGATCTACCGGTACGCTAAGGCCTAGCCGAGTCGGACCCCATTTAGGTACATAAGGGGTAGGAAGCTATAAGCTCCCCTTTCATCTTTTTTGTATCCTTCGTAGTAGACCTATAGGATAGAATACAGCATCACCTCCGACTCGCACTCCCATATGCACCTACGGAGAGCCGTATTCCCTGTGTCCTTACACTAAGGAGTGATGTCATGTAATGAATCATAGAGGGTTGTAGAGATATGCTATGTGGTCAAATCGGCCCAGTAACTAAGGAGCAATGACATGTAATGAATCATAGAGGGTTGTAGCAATCGTTGAGTAGTATTGCTCTTGTTGTTGGTGTGACAAGCCAAAATATGTATAGTGACTTGTAGGTTTGAGGAGGAGATTTCTAAGTTTGCTCTTGAGTTTAATAGCAAACTGAGTGCAACAAATGTCAGTATGACACTAACCCTCCTTTGGAAAGGTTAACGAGCCAATGAGAGGCATACTCTCATTTGAGAGTACGTGCTCTCATATGGCCTTTTTGAAGCAATTGAGCTGGCAATATACCAGCTCAATTGCATGGTAAGTTGGGAGTCAATTGAGACCCCCAAACCTCCTCCCCCTTCCCTTCCTCCCCTCTACCACAGAACCCCGCTGACACCTCCCAGGCTCCCTGTAACGCTGACTTCTAAATGATAGAAGACACAGAGGTTTCTTGCATAAGGTTGACTTGACAGAGGAGGCAGGGGATTAGACACAAAGGCTTTCCAAGTAACACATTACAGTATTGTAAAGAATACTATATTGAGTTGAGCACGAAGCTCCTATCTAAGGAAATACTATCTACTATATAGTGGCGTCGTGCCAAAGGGATATCCGTGGATAACATGGATAACATAATATCCATGATATCCAATGTTATCCATCACGTGAGGTTGCAGCTGTAAGCGCTAGCCATAGCACTAGGACTTAGCCGTAACACTCCCTCCCTCCTCTGACCCCCTCGAAACCACCCTCAGAAGCCCTTGCGCTAGGCACAAACTCCCCTGCCTCCCCCGCCCCTGCCTCCTAGCCGAACTCGCTGCCCCTGTTGACGGTAGCAAGTTCCTCGACTTGGACGCTTGGTCCCGTGCCCTGGGCGACTGGGCCGTCAAGGAGAAGTTCTCCTGGCGGCTCCAGAGGAGGGACAAAGACGGGGCAACCGCCGTTTGTCCCGAGGAGGGCTGTGCCTGGCGTATCCGAGCCATCCCCAACAACGAGCAATGGAAGCTTGTCGTCGGGCTGGCTCGGACATGCCAGGCACATATGAGAACGTGGGAGTTTCTAGATTGGGCTTATGTGGGATGGAACTGGGTATATTGAATTTATTTATTGTTTTACTGGGTATATGGAGTTTTTGCCCTTTATTCATATACTTTCAAAACAGGGAGGGTTACTTAATTCATTTTCCCAAGATTATAAGTATAAAAGGGCTAAGTCTTACAAGGCCAATTACAGAAGTTATTAAGAGTTGAAGAGTAGATTATGTGATCCTCAGTTTTGCTGTGGCAGCCGGTTTGATGGGGTAGCCAACCCCACTATCCCGATTACGCCATACTCCCGATTACGCCACGACTAACATTAGTTTCTCAATCAAGTCGTCAAACTCCAATTATGTGTTTAATATTAGGGTCAGCGAATCGCGATCACGTGCCTTTGGATTTAGCGAGGAACTGGACGGTGCGCCTGCCGCCAATTCCTTAGTTGGACGATCAGAAGCATACATATGCCTGATTCAGATTTGTTCGTTGTCGCTAGTAGGATTAAGAACCATTGGCTATACTTCTCGATGGGCTGTACCAGTTCCTACTGATTACGTACATTGTATTACCAATGCTTTAAAGCGATCCTGCATAAACCATTCTCTTCCGCGTGCCCGCCACATGATTTGTCTCCGTTGTGGGGGCTTGGGGGTCAATCAAGAAGGCCCATGGGCTCTGCTTTAACTGCTTTTTAAGACTTTTCGTTCTGCTATCTGTGCCCATGTATCTCGCTGCCGTCAGAGGACAGAAGTGTTTCTAGAGCGGGAACCTGAACCGGAATTGCCCGTCGTGAGACTGATGTCCCGAATACTGAGTGCTTGGGAGACGAGGCATGGCGACAGCCCACTCTTCGCAGCTAGTGTTCCAAGCTTTACCAGCCTGATCGAAAACAATATCTATGTGTAGAAGTACGGAGTATGCTCGCTATTGAGGATGGTTTCTTGCCTTATGTTCTGGTCACGGCTGCAACCCACAGAGCCCCACGCAAGTTCCAACACAAGCTTACGTGGCAACCAGGTTAACACAAAGTCAAGACCACTATGACACATTGATTTGACATACATATGAAGCGGATGGCTAGGTTTCTTATGTCCGCATCTCCGGGATCCTGGAAATGGACGATGGAAGGCCGCCGTAGTTGTAGTAGCTATGCCTAATGAGCGAAATGATTAGGGACATGCGGCGGGGTAAGGGAAGGGCACGGAGGTGACCAGTCATAAGCATCGGTTATGTAGGGGTCTACATAAGGACCGGATAGGTTTGTTGGGCATAATTCTACAGCAGACGCTTGGGGAGGGAGGCTTGATACTTCTTGCCACTATATCTCTAAAGGCCCTCGCAAGCTTGAGCTTGGCTAGGGCATGGAAGAGTTTTTTTCACTTTTTGTCACCAACTCTAGCCCCGACGAGTCGTCCACTGCCATCGGGAATCTTGGTAGCTCGTAGATTCGTCTGCGTGGCATGTCTGATTTGTCTTCAATGATGGTTTTGTTCGTTGCACGCACGCCCTTAGTAGGTACAATCCTTGCACGGTCTTTATGGCGCTTAATCCAGTCTCTGATGGTCAAAATCTGAAGAGTGCTGAGGGCCTTGACTTTCTCATACGTGATGCTACAGCAAGGTCACATGTCCCAGCCCAATAATGGCCACGTCAGAAATTTGCGGGTATTCTGAAGCCATATCTATGGTTACTTTGCTCAGGAGAAGGGATAAGGCCTTTTTAAAATGAATAGTCTTAGTCGGGGGGTTGTGGTAGACCCACCCCGTGTTTAACAATGTAACCCGGATGGTTATGGCTAATGCTGCCTAAACGATACCTTGATGGCCACTTGAGAACTTTGGATCAATCGCCATTCCGACAACTGAATCTTCTCGGAATGGCGATTGATCCAAAGTTCTCAAGTGGCCATCAAGGTATCGTTTAGGCAGCATTAGCCATAAGAATATCATTTTAATTTGAGAAGCCCTCGGGCTTCTCAAATTAACATGATATTCTTATTCAAGATAATGCGTTATTGTAGATGCATATAACGAAGATTTTTGGTGAAAGTATCGAACTCGCCCCAAGACGTTGCTCCGTGTCGGAATCAACTGACCCATCACAAACGTTATAAAAGGCTACGGTAACTGCAGCCCGTTTCGACTCCCTTGGTGGAGTCTCTCTCTTCCAACTTAGGGAAAGATGCACACAATCGAGTCAACTCAACCGCCGGCCGATCGCTCTTAACCAATCATTAGCTACAAATTTATTTTCAAACATCTTGTATTGGTTGACTGAATGGCACCCTGGTGGCTATCTTATTCGAGGCTGTCCCTAATTTTGCAAGGCAGGGCTTAAAGCTACGTATATCCTCTTCTGATGATATTAAAATCCTTTTTCTCTTTCAACACACCAAAAGAAGAAACGCTATTGTTCTTGGGCTCGAAACAAAATCAGAATAATGGGTTCAATTGAAGAGGGGAGCGCGGCAATGCCGCTTGGAAAGACCATTCGGCAATTACCAGTTACTTTGCTTTCTGGCTTTCTGGTTTATTCACCGCTCGAGGAATAATTGGGCAGATGACTAAATTCTACCAGGGAAGTGGAAAAACCACTCTAATGGAGCATATTCTAAAGTCCCCTGACCACGGCCTTCGCATTGCTGTCATTGTCAATGATATGAGCAGGCATGAATGAAGCGTTCTTACTTGTAAGAGTATTCACTAATAAACACCTCAGTATCAATATTGACGCTTCCCTGATCTCCAACCACGTTATTTCTGCAAGCAAAGAAAAATTGATCCAGCTTCAGAATGGCTGCATCTGCTGTACTCTTCGTGGCGATCTCCTCGAAAGCCTCGTCGATCTCTCACGCAACGGAGATATTGAATACGTCATGATTGAGTCTACTGGAATTTCCGAGCCGCAGCAAGTTGCCGAGACTTTCACGACAGAATTTACTGCTGCAATGATTGAGCAGGGCGGGCTAGCACCGGATGATGAGAACAATGCCATTATAAAAGAGATGTAGGTTTTATTATTATTCTAAGACACGGAAAGTCCCAATAATTAATTTCCTTGCCAGCGCAGAGATAGGTGGTCTCCATAAGCTCGCCCGCCTTGACACATGTGTAACTGTGATCGACGCCTTCAACCTCTTCAGCAACTTTCACACTCCAGAATTTCTCTCAGACCGTAAGTCTGAAGGTTTAGTTCCTGAAGAGGATGACCGGACCATTAGCGACCTTCTCGTCGATCAAATTGAATTTGCTAATGTTATCATTGTCAACAAGATTGATGCGGTAGATCTTGAAACCAAAGGCAAGGTTTTAAGAACTTGCAAAGCACTGAATCCGTCCGCATTGGTTTTAGAGACCAATTACTCTAAGGTTGATGTGAGGGAAATTATTAACACGGGAAGATTCGACTTTGAAAAGGCGGCGTTAGGGTCTGGATGGCTGAGCAGTTTGCATGAATTGACTTTACGGGAAGTCAATGGTATTATGAAGGTGACTCCGAAACCAGAGACAGAGGAGTAAGTTTCCCTTTTTGCTAACAATGATAAATGTTGCTTGGTGCCATGGATGTGCTAACGAAGATAAGATATGGTGTGAACAATTTTGTCTATTGCGCCCGGCGACCATTCCATCCCAAGAAACTCTTCAAACTCCTCCATGACAAGTTTATTCTCCTCCAAAATGTGGAAACACATGATGATGTTGACGAGGACACCGAAAATGAAGAAGATAAGATGGAAACAAGTGATGACGAGAGTGACTCCGAGGGCCACAACGATGCGCGCAAGGGCTCTACTACCATGCCCTGCGAAAACTCTACAGATGACGAAGACCTCGACATGGAAGTGGACGATTTCAGCAGTGAGATCCCAACTGAAGTACGTATCCCTTCGCCACTGCTACATCAACTAACATCGCTCAACGCGTAGGTTATTCTCCGTAATAAAGCATGCCATCCCGCCTTCGCTCCTCTCCTGCGATCTAAGGGGTTTTTCTGGCTCGCAACACGTCCCTCTCAACATGGTGAATGGTCTCAAGCAGGCGGAATGCTAACAATCCAAGGCGGAAGTCCATGGTTCTGTACAATACCGCGGGAATTCTGGCCTGCTGATCCTCAAGTTGTAAGCATGATCAAGGCAGATTTCAAAGGCGAGTGGGAAGACCGCCGTCAGGAAATTGTATGCATTGGGGAGGGGATTGACGTCCAGTTAATAACGACGACCTTAAACAACAGCTTGCTCACAGATAGTGAGATGGAGAAGTGGAGCAAGATTATGCGTAATAGTGGGTTAACTGATGAAGAGAGGCAAGATGCGTTAAATACGGCGTTTGAAGGTAAGTGATCTTTTTTCTGTTGATTCTAGTCAGAAGAAGTATGAGAACTGATATGCTTCCTAGATGGATTTGAGGATTGGGCTACTACGCCAATGCAGTTTGAGGAGCAAGGACATGAGGGTCACAATCATGCTCATAGCAACGGTCACAGCCTGTAAGATGTTTACTCTAGGTCAAGGGAAAACAGTGGTGTTACGGCTCTCGGGAGGACTATTGACCGAGCAGGGTTCTAGTTGTAGAACATTAAAAGCGTGGGAATTTATGTTATGTTACCTTTTAATCGTCGTAACCAACCTTGTCGCTTCGCTCTAGGTTGGAGGAAGCGATGTGCGCGGTTTCGCAATTTGTAATTTGTAAGTACCACTCCATAGTAATTCATATGTAATGGTACATCAATCAATCATCGTAAGAAATTATCACATCGTCACTCCCACTCTCACTCCCACTCCCACTCCCACGCTCACTCCCACGCTCGCTCCCATGCTCGCTCTCGCTCTCGCTCTCGACAGCTTCTGGGTCTGGAATTGGGAGGCCTGATCCTTAAAGAGTTGCCAGCCTCTTCTTCCGAAGGCGTCCTTACGAGCCTCAATTCCAGCCCTACGAAGCTGCTTATGGGCCTGGTTTGCAGCCTGGCGGGCTACCCGTGCTTTTTTGGCTGCGAGCTTCTAGGCCTGCTCTGCTTTCTAGGCCTGCTCTGCTTTCTAGGCCCGAAGCTCGTGAGCTTCAGCAGCTAGGAGCTCACCTCCAAACTGAAGCCGGGCCCGGCTCCGGCTTGCCCGCTTCTTTGACTGCTCAACCTGGCGTCGAACAGCCGCCTGTAGGTCAAGCTCCTGAATCCGACCCCCTACTCGTGCGGCCCAAAAGTTTCCACAGGGTCTGTGTGTAATAAGTGGGGCGTGTAAGTACTTGGAGAAAATGCATGTACATACTCTACGTACTTGTACTGATCTACCCACGAAAGTTGTTCCCCCCATTGACTGCAATACACCGCTCCAACTTGTCCTTAAACGAAGCACATAATTGTGTAGATTTCCCATCCATTTTTTTCCCCCATTCTTCCTCAAGAAATACCCGTGCATGAGCTCTCTCAAACTTCCCTCCGTTTAATGGTGTATAGCCATCAACCTGATCCTTGAGATAATCAAAGGCATTTTCAATAGGGTGCAAATCGGGAGAGTTTGGAGGCCAAAATTTCACTCTATAGATTCCCTCCTTCTTCATATAATCTTCCAATGATCGGTGAGCCTTCAAATGAAGACTTACATTATCATCCACAAACCATACTCGTTTTGTAGGATGTAAAGCCTTTACTTTTCGAAAGTAGGGGAAGAGAAGAGGAATAAGAACCATCTCTCGATATAGAAACCAATCAATCCCGCCCTTTGAAACTTCTTGCCCTTCTGATTGCCGTCCTCTACTCCATGTCTCTATATCTCCAAACTCTTGTGAAGCAACTCGTGCCTTTTTCCATTTGCTTTTGCCATTCCGAATATCTGCATTTAGAGTTTCCATATATCCGTACTCAAGAGTTCCAACTGTTGTTGCTCTAACAAGTTCATTCTCTGCTTTTGATTTCCAATATGCATTTATCTCTCGTAGTTTCTGCACATGTATCTGCTTCTCTTCTATACTTTCAGGAATCCATGAACGAGAAGGGCGTAAGATAGAGGTTTCTGAACTCATTGCTCCCCAAAACATAACTTGAAATAAAGATTTCTTCTGTTGAATTGCCATGCTCTCTGCTGTTTGACCCCGTTGAACTGTTATCCGTCGTTTCTTATGTGGATTCCCTCCGAAATTGATATATGATTCGTCTGAGAAAATAAAAATTGATCCAGCTTCAAGTTCGGATAGTGCCCATTTGCAGAATTTCCATCGTACTGAAGGAATGATATTATCCAAGTAGGGCTTGAGGCAGATGTTTTTCCGTACAATAGGTTGTGGAATTTCAACACTTGAGTGATTCTTTGCAACTCGTTCGACAATTGATCGTGCGTAGGGTAGATTTTCCTTATTAATAACTTGTTGAAAAGTGTCAAATGGATTTGCAAGTAGCAAAGATCGTATGCGTAGTGACTCTTCAGAATCCTTTTAAATTGTCTGTGGTCTTCCGCTTCGTGGCTTTGATTCGAGGTGTTGGAGAAGGTTGTGAATTTCAGTATTCCCTGCCCTTTTAACAGTTTGGTGCCATATATATGCAATAGAGTCAGCTGAGATTCCAAGCTTCTTTTCAATCTCTCCATATGATGCGTTCATGTATACACGCAAGGTAATAATTGCAGCACGTAGTGGTATTGAGATTTCAGCCATTGTTGAGCATTACTTCATTGCTTCATTCACTCTCATATTCTACGCGTGTACATTTTCTACGCGTGTACTCGGGTACAAGTACATGGTGCTTGATAGATTCCTACAATCTAATTGGCTGTTGTGCACAGACCCTGTGGAAACTTTTGGGCCGCACGAGTATTACTACCTCCTCTGTGGCAGTAAGCCAGTTCTAGTAGCTCTCTCTTGAGGGGCTGCTAAACCCCTCTAGAACCCAGGTTTTCTAGTGCTGTAGCCCCTCTTCTACCCTGAAAAGTAGAGGGTTTTAGTGTAGTAGAAGCCTAGGTGTCATACTGACATTCGTTGCACTCAGTTTGCTATCAAACTCAAGAGCAAACTTAGAAATCTCCTCCTCAAACCTACAAGTCACCATACATATCTTGGCTTATCACACCAACAACAGAAGCAATACTACTCAACGATTGCTGCAAACTCTTCTACTACATCTGTTTATGCTACATACATCACGGCATATCATTTGGACACTCATTCAACAAGTTATTAAGAAAATCTCCTCCTTAAGGGGGTGGGCCAATACTACCACATGGCATATCTCTACCAACTAGAGGCCTAGGAACATGAACGATAGCTCTAGAAGCTTCTACAACCCTCTATGATTCATTACACGTCATTGCTCCTTAGTTACCCACAAGATTGGTTAAGTTATGACATAATTTATCTATAGGTACTCTGACCTTGGCGAAGATGAAAATGAGTCGGTACAAAGTTTAGATAGTGAAAATAGCTCTGTTAATTTTATATTGTTCAGGTAGTTATCTATCAATACTATGCTATTACCCTGTTGATTTATATATATGTATATCATATTGATGCATACCCAAACTCGCTTTCGCATACCCAACTCGCTTTCGCCACCTACTCGCTTCGCTCATAGGTGGACAAACCACCGAGTAGTGTTTTCATGTATATTAGATAGCCTTATACACTTCCTATATATAAAAGGGATAAGCTCTAGTATTTTTATTGAAGTCATTATTAATTAATTGAATTTTCAAAAATTAAGTACCTTGACATACAAATTTTGCTGTGAAGGTACTTCCTCCTGATTATGCCATACTCCCTATTACGCCACGACCTACATTACGGGCGGCGAAGCCCCTATATATACACCCCCTATATATACACAGTTGGTATACAGGCTACGCATGTGCATTGTACTACCAGGAACGCAGTTCCAACACTCCCCTTACGCTATACTGCTGCTACCTATGCACCATCGCTATGGTGGTGTTGACCGCTATGCACCCTCATGGTGTTGAATCTGGCTTTCCTAGCTCTTACGTTCAAAGTAGTTGCTTGCTTAGCATGGCCTACACTCGTCTTGTAACCAGTGCTGCTTCTGCTATATGATGGTAGTCATGAGGAGCTGTCTGTAACGGCGAATCTTTCGCTCAATCGTACAACATAGCTACTCTCTCCTATGAGATCTATGAGAGAAGCTGTTAATTATCTGCATTTGGCGTAGCGCATTATGTGCTTAACCTAGGCTCATAACCTGTTAAATACATAATTAGAGTTTAAGAAACTATAGGGGGCGAAGCCCCTATATATACACAGTTGGTATACAGGCTACACATGTGTAGCATACTACTAGGAACACAGTTCCAACACCTAATGTTAAACACATAATTAGAGTTTAACAACTTGATTGAGAAACTATAGGGGGCGAAGCCCCTATATATACACAGTTGGTACATAGGCTACGTATGTACAGCATACTACTAGGAACGCAGTTCTAACATTCCCCTTACACTATACTATGTTGCCTCTGCAACAGCACCCCTGCTTCTAGTTCCTCCTAAACCTAAGTCTCTGCCTATCCCTCTTTCCTAGCCCATCCTATCTATAGTATAACCACACTTGCTATCTACTACATCGCTATAGTGGTGTAAACCGCTTACACACCCTTATGGTGTCAAATCTAGCTAGTCTGTCCTAGCTATGCCCCTATAGGGTCTAGTTGATCCAACTAAAGTCCTAACAGTATTCCTAGCTCTTATGTTCAAAGTAGTTGCTTGCTTAGTATCACAAGGAGGACATGTAGAACTTTAACAAGACTGGATTTTTGATGGGCCAAATATCATCTGAGATGGTTGTAACAAATGCTGAACGAAAGAGCAGACCTCGTATGACACAGCAAGGCCAACAGGGAATGGATTACAGTGATTCAAGGCATTGGATCGTACGGATATGCGCTACCGCCATTTATTATTGTTGCAGGGAAAAACCACCTTTTGTCTTGGTATGAAAATGCTTCTTTGCCATCAAATTGGGTTATTGCTGTTACGTCAAATGGCTGGACAACAAATGAGCGAGGGCTTGATTGGATTAAGCATTTCAATCGACATACACAGAGTCGTACGAAGGGTAGATATCGACTTTTGATTCTTGACGGGCACGAAAGTCATCACTTGATCGAATTTGAGACGTATTGCAAGGACTGGAATATTATTATTCTTTGAATGCATCTCATAACCTTCAGCCACTTGATGTTGGTTGCTTTCGACCATTAAAGCATTCGTACGGAACTGAGATTGAGAAGTTGATGCGTGCGCATATTTCACACATCTCGAAAGAAGATTTCTTCCCTGCCTTTCATATGGCGTTTCGTACAGCAATGATTGAATCAAATAATCGAGCAGGATTTCACGCTACAGGGCTTGTTCTGTACGATCCAGACTATGTAATCTCAAAGCTTGATGTTCGACTTCGTACGCCAACGCCAACGCCTACGCCAACACTACCTATGATTTGGGAACCTAAAACTCCACGCAATGTACTTGAGACACAATCTCAATCAACATACCTTAAAGACCAGATTATACGACATCAGAATAGTTCACCAACTTTGCTTTTACAAAGCATTGATCAGGTTGCGAAAGGTGCAGCAAGTGCGATACACAAGTTAACACTATTACAAGAAGAAAACACTGCACTTCGCAAAGCAAATGACTTACTTAGTCGGTGTCGTCGTATAAAAAAATGTCGATTACAAGAAGGA